TAATATAAAATTAATAAGATGACAACGGTTTAGAATTTTTTAAATTATTCAGAAAAAATTGTCGAAATCGTATTAAGAAAACTTTTTTTTGAAACTTTAACGGAAATAATTTGAAATAAAAAAAAATGATAAAAACCTTTGTAGGGTATTAAATAAACAGTTTTTCGTTTAAAAACTCATTAAGGCACGTAAAATAGATTTAAAGTAGTTCAAATATAAAGTTAAACAAATATCCATCATTTTTTTCAACATTATTATGTTTAGTTATCATGTGGATTCCCAAAATAATGTAAAATTTATATCAATATTAAATAAATTAATAATTATAACAAAATTAAAATCCCAAGTTCAAATAAACATGAGTGAAAATACATTCATAAAAAAATTTAATCAAGTTTTGAATCTGAATGGAGGAATTTTGATTGTATGTGTATGAAAATTGCTTCAAACAAAAAAAAGTAAAAAATTGACTTTATAAAAATTCATTTAAATAAGTTTTTTTAAAACTAAAAAATATAATATCAAAATAAGAATAAATAAACCCTGACCTAAAATTAAATATCTCAGATTGTTAAAAAAAAAAATTTACAATCGTTCATAATAAATCACTTTAAAAAAAAAATTAATTATTAATTACATATTAAAAGTAGATTATGTAATTTTAATTAATTGATAACAAAAATGGTTTTGAGTAATTGTAATTTCTAATTTTAAAAAAATTTTGTTGTTTTACTTTGTGAAAAGACCTTGGCATTTAATTATAATAAAATAAAGAATTAAATAATAATAATAGTTTAGCATAAAACACATCGATTATGATTAATTATTCTAAATTATTGTAGCCATGTCGTTTACTTCGTATTAAAATATTTTATAAGTAAAATTTTTTAAATAAAATTTTGATTTTTATAGAACATTGTAATTGATTGTTTATATAAATACCAAGATAACTTTTAATTGAAATTTAAAAAAATGTTTATGATGCTTCATTTCGCAAACTTATCGCTTTAAGTAAAAATGAGAAAAATTTAAACGTATGTCGTGCTATAATAAAATACCTTAGAAGTCGCAATAGAAAATCAATTATTTGTAATTATTATTTTTATGTATGTAAATAATTCCATTGTGAAATTGTTATTCAGAGATAACTTACTTTTGAAAGTAATTTCAAAAAAAATAAATAACAATAAATATTATATAAAAAATAATTTATGTTTTTTAATAATAAAGTTAATATGGTACATAAAGTCTAAATATAAATATGTGGAAATTTACTCACGTTTTTCAATGATCTTCTTTCAGTTAATTAAAATATTTCACAATGACAGCTAACTTGGCTTGTTCTAAAGTTTTAGAAAATTTTTATATAAGCCAATGACAATTAAATTTCAATGCTTCAATTATTAAATAACAGTCGACTTTTTCATTCAATGTTTCCAACGATAAATGTATTGTCCTGAAATTTTAATTATCATATATAATTATTACCGTGATTTGATTTATAAATTATGTTACCATTTTTGATTAATCACGAAGAATATTTTTAGTATTTGTAATAAAAATTAGTTTAATAGTTACCTACATTTGCAAAATCCATTAAATTCAGCTGAATCTATCCCCAAGACTACATTTGTAACGTAATTGTGGGTTGTTTTATGATTCTACCTCCACGATAAAAAAAAAAAACGTTTATCAAATTTCACGTCTGCTAAACTGAATTTGAAAGTTATTTATTTAAAACTTGAAAAAAAAATTATTGGCACTTAATTTATGTTATGTATTTTAATTTAATAATATTTAAATTAGTTTTAATAATATTTATTATTAACCTTATTTAAATTTTTCAACAATTTTTTTTTTTTTAGTTAGTTGCTTGTATATTCGTTTGAATTTGTTTGTTGTTTAAAAAACCCGCCAAAATTAATTTTTAAACCGTTTTTTTTTTCAATGAGTAATAAGCTTTAAAGTATTCAACTTTAATAATTTAATAATGTAAAAATAGTTATTTAGTTTTTTATTTTAGTATAAAATAATTTTATCTTTAGTCATTTAAATAACAATTAGTAAAATTAATTAGAAACACAGATTTTATAACTAAAATTCAAATTTATTAATGTCAAATAAATTTTGATATTTGCAACTTATTTATGTTATTACTTTTTTTTTTTTAAGTAAAACAATTTAAATTATATAAAATCATTAAAGAAAAAATTAAAATTAAGAAATAATTGGTTTTCGATTTTATATAAGAAGATTTCAATTTGTTACAATTGGCATTATTTACACTGCAAAAAAATCACTGAATGATGAATGTTTCAACATGTTTTAATTAAAATTTTATTTACATTTTAAGGAAAGTTTTTTTTTTTTTTTTTTACTAAAACAAGTTTACTATTAAAATAATTTTTTTTGTTTTTTTTTTTTTAAAGAGAGAAATAATGGGTGGGCAAAACGTTTTAGTCATTGGTAACGGAGGTAGAGAACATGCCATTTGTTGGAAATTATCCCAATCTCCAGACATTGCTAATCTATTTGTAACTCCTGGAAATATTGGAATAGCAACAGTTAACAAAGTAAAAAATGTTACGGTAGATGTCAAAAATCATAATGCTGTCGTTAAATTTTGTAATGAAAATGATGTTAGTCTGGTTGTGGTTGGACCAGAAGATCCTTTAGCTGATGGCTTGGCTGATTCTTTAAAAACTGAAGGTAAAATTATAAATTTAAAATTAAATAATATATACGAGTATTAAAATAAATTTTATTTTAGGTATTTATTGTTTCGGACCCGGAAAAGATGCTGCTCAAATAGAATCAAATAAAGATTGGGCAAAGCAATTTATGAAAAGACATGATATTCCTACCGCAAGATTTGGATCTTTTCAAAATGCTCAAGAAGCTAAAAAATTTATTTTAAGTGCTACTTTTCCTGCATTAGTTGTTAAAGCTAGTGGTTTAGCTGCTGGAAAAGGAGTTGTAGTTGCCAGTGATAAAGAAGAAGCATCTAATGCTGTTGATGATATTCTCACTCAAAAAAAATTTGGAGATGCTGGAAGTACAGTTGTTATTGAAGAACTATTAGAAGGAGAAGAAGTTTCGGTAAAATAATATGTTCAATAATTTGTTTTAATTTTTTTTACTGCAAAAATGTTAAATAATTATTGTCATTTAAAATGTGTAGTACTTAGCATTCACTGATGGTAATACCATAGTTCCAATGTTACCAGCTCAAGACCATAAAAGAATTTGGGATGGAGATAAAGGCCCAAACACAGGAGGAATGGGTGCTTATTGTCCTTGCCCACTTTTGACTCCAAAAATGCAGGAATATGTCATGGAAAACGTTTTGAAAAAAGCTATTGATGGCTTGAAAAAAGAAAAACTTCGCTTTGTCGGTCAGTTGTCATTTTATTCCAAAACCATTTTGTACGATTTAAATATTACAAAAAAAAATTTTTTTTAAAGGTGTACTTTACGCTGGATTAATGATCACAAAATCGGGTCCGAAAGTTCTAGAATTCAATTGTAGATTTGGCGATCCTGAAACTCAAGTTATTTTACCAATGTTAGAATCAGATTTATATCATGTTATGCTTGTAAGTTTTTTTTTTTTAATAATTAGCTTTAATTGTTATTTTTTGTTCTTCTTGTTGTTAACAAACAAGTAAACTTACAGGCTTGTTGCAAACAAACTTTGCATACAATGACGTTAGATTGGAAGAAAAATCTTTATTCTGTGGGTACAGTAATGGCTAGTAAAGGTTATCCGGAAACATCAACAAAAGGCTGCGTCATTACTGGTAAAATAACATTTATTATTAATTTCTGTATTATTATTAAAAAAATTCAATTCTAACTCTTATTAACTTGTGTAAATCAGGTTTAGATAAAGCCAACCATCTTGTGTTTCATAGTGGAACTGCACTTAATAATAAGAATGAAGTTGTTACAAATGGTGGCAGAGTTTTGATCACTGTAGCAAATGACAGACAATTGGCTTTGGCCATAGCTAAATCCATCAAAGTTTGTGAAACAATAAAATTTGAGGGTGCACAGTTTAGAAGAGATATCGGTTTTAAAGGGATAGCCAGGTGAAAATGATTGTGAAATTACAAACATACGAATTGTTTTTTCGTTAAATTTTTTTTTTGTATCAATTATAATTTCAGATCACTTTTAGCTAGTGGGCAATTAACCTACAAATCAAGTGGGGTGGATATTGCTGCGGGTGATAATCTTGTCTCGAGAATAAAACCAGCTTGCCGGCAAACAAATAGGCCAGGATGCATCGGTTCTCTCGGAGGTTTCGGTGGGTTATTCGATCCTAAAGCAGCTGGTTTTAAAGACCCCGTTTTGGTATCAGGTACCGATGGTGTCGGAACTAAATTAGTCATCGCTCAAGCTTGTAATCTACATTCTACTATCGGAATCGATTTAGTGGCTATGTGCGTTAATGATATCCTAGCCAACGGAGCAGAACCTTTATATTTTCTTGATTACTTTGCATGTGGGATATTAGATGTTTCTGTAGGATGCGAAATTGTCGAAGGGATTGCAAAGGGTTGTAAATTAGCCGGTTGTGCTTTGATAGGTAAAAGACATTACATAATTTTTTATTGAAAAACAAATGCAAGACAAATATTAATGAATCCAATTGCTCTTAAGGTGGAGAAACAGCAGAAATGCCTGGAGTTTATGCACCGGGTGATTACGACCTGGCTGGATTTGCAGTTGGTGCCGTGGAACGTGATAAAATTTTACCCCTCACCGACGCGATCGTACCTGGAGATGTCGTTATTGGTATCCCTTCGAGTGGTGTTCACAGTAATGGTTTTAGTTTAGTGAGAAAAGTTATGGAAAAGTTAAATTACAATTATCACGATGAAGCACCTTTCAGTCAATCCGGAAAAACTTTTGGTAAAAGTTTAAAAATCCTAATGAATATTATTTAAAAAAAAAAAAAAATTTTCTTTTTTAAATTTAATTTCAAATCACAGGACAAGAGTTATTGACACCGACAAAAATTTACGTAAAAAGTTTATTGCCAGCATTAAGAAGTGGTAAAGTAAAAGCTTTTGCTCACATAACTGGAGGAGGATTATTAGAAAATATTCCAAGAGTTCTTCCAGCAGCAGTTAAAGTCAGATTAAATGCATCCAGTTGGGAAATCCTTCCGGTTTTTTCATGGCTTGCTGCTTTTGGTATTTAATTAATTTTTCCCTCACTTATTCACTTTTCCAAAAATTTAAACTTTTATATATATTTAATGAGAAATTATTTCAGGGGGTATTAACGAAAGAGAATTACTTCGTACCTTTAATTGCGGAGTCGGTGCTACCTTAATTGTAAGCGCTCAAGATGCAAACAACGTATTATCTTTAATACAAGGAGAACGTGCCACTATAATAGGAAGGGTTGAACCTTATTCACCAGGTATACAAAAACTCTAATCGAATACCAGTTCAAAGCCTTATTAGAATTCTTAATATTAATTTTTTTTAGACGAAGGGCGAGTAGTCGTTGACGGTTTCGTTGAAAAAATGGAAAAAGAAATGAAAGTTCACATACCGAAATTAATAGAAACATCACGTCGTAATAAAAAAAGAGTTGCCGTCTTAATATCAGGTACAGGTTTTTTTTTTTTTTAAATTTTAAATTACGGTATATGTATTATGAAAAAATAACTTACCGAATTCAAATTATCAGGTTCAGGTACAAATTTACAAGCTTTAATTGATTCGACCACAAATCCACATAATAATTCTTCTGCTGAAATCGTTTTGGTCATATCGAATAAAACGAATGTTCAAGGTTTAGCCAGAGCGGAAAAAGCAAACATTCCGACATACGTGAGTCAAAATACTGAAAAAAAAAAAATAAAAAATAAAATTTAATAAACGGTTGGAAAAGTTTCTAATTAATATAATTTGTAGATTGTAAAACATACTGAATTTCAAACTAGAGCTGCTTTCGACATGGAAATGAATCGAATTTTAAAACAAAACAATGTCGATTTAGTTTGTTTGGCTGGATTTATGAGAGTTTTAAGCGAAGAATTTGTACAAATTTGGAATGGTAAAGTTATTAACATTCATCCATCTTTGTTGCCAAGTTTTAAAGGTTCTTCAGCTCAAAAACAAGCTTTGGAATCTGGAGTCAAAGTCCCCGGATGTCCCGTTCATTTCGTTGACGGGAGTACATTAAATAATTTTTTTTTTTTTTTAATTGACTAAAAATTTACACAAATTTTTTTTTTTTTTTTAAAGGCAAAAATCGATAATGGTGGAATTATCATACAAAAACCGGTGGATATACTTTTAAACGATACAGAAGAAACTCTTGTGGAAAGGATTAAATCAGTTGAACATGTTGCTTTTCCAACAGCATTAGAATTAGTTGCTTCCGGTAAAGTTTATTTAGATCAAAGTGGAAAAGTAGTTTGGAATCAATTTTAAATTTTTTTTTTTTTTTAAAAAAAGTATGATGAATTGATTTAGAATTAGGTTTAATCATATGTTTTTATAATAAAAAAAATGTATTCGTTACTTTCTTTTTTTTTTTTTTAATTATAAATTTAAAAAAAAAAAAATTAATTAATTAATTTTTTTCACATTTACTTTTCCTGGCTTTCAAGTTAATTAACGGTTTTTTTTTTTTTTTTTTTTTTAAATATGAAGAGTGTAAATTGAAACAATTGTTGTTTAATCAAGTGTTTTCTTAAAAGGAAATGCCAGGAAGAGTAAAATATTAAGCAATATTTATCTTTATTTACAAATAATATTATTTAATCAATAATTCTTTTTTTCTTTACCCGAGAAAAAATACTCATTATTATTATTATTATTCAACAAATAAAATTAATAAAAAAAATAAGGAACAAATAACAAATATAATTAATTATTTAATTTAAACGAGCTCTGTAAAAAAAAAAAAAAATTAAAAAGTTACTACAATTTATATAAATAATAATCAAATAATCTGGATGAGAAAAATAAAAATGTAAAATGAAACAATATTTAATTAAGTTTCTTTATTCCTTCCGGAGATTCTCACAAATAAAATTATTTAAAATGGACTAACATTGTTTTTGTTAAAACATTTTCAATTAATTAAATTTTTTTTAATATTAAACCCAAAGAATTCTTAACACATTTATTATTTTAAAAACTTCAATTCATCAAATCAAAAACAAAACAACAACGGTTTTAAAAATGGCGACAAAATTAAAGCGAACTCAGAGAACTCTAACGGTAAAAATTAAAAACATTTTTGATAATTTTACGACAAAATTCGTTTTTATTTATGATTTTATAACGTATAATTTTAATTCGAATATAACAATTATTTAAAATTTGTTTTTTTTTTTTTTTTTTTAATCTCGTTAAAAAAATATTAATTTACATTTAATAAATTTCAATTTAAAAAAAAAAAAAAAAAACACTCTCGTAATTATTTAATTTAATTTTATTTATTTATTAATATAAATTTCGTTTCGTCGCCCAATAACAAATTAAACAACAATAAATATATATATTTATTTACTTTATGTGATAAAAAGCGATAATATAATCAATCGGCAATTATTATTCTTTTTTATTTTATTTATTTATTTATCTTTATTTAAAAATTTACCTATAATAAAATAATTTCATTTATTTATCAAATTTTTTTTTATACAATTAATAATAATAATAATAATAACCACGGATTGAAAACCGTTATTTTTCAAGAAACCTACCTTATAATTATTATTTTACAAAAAATAAACAAAAAAAAAAAACAATTTAATTAAATTTAATTAATAATAATTTAAATTATTTGTCATTAAATAATTATTTTAAATTATTTTAACAATATTTTTAATTATTAAAAAGAAAAAAAAAAAAAACTTCGAATGATTTATTTTTCATTACATTAAAAAAAAAAAAAATAACAACAAAACAACCATAATTGTTTATTTTTTTCGTTTGTAAATAAATTAATTTTCCATTTTACAAAAATATAATTATTTTATACAATTAAACAAATTACATTTTACACAATATATATATATATATATATATATATATTATATACCGATTTACATATATAATAATTTTAAAAATTAATATTTATATCACTTGGAGTAATTAAATTGGGTTAAATTTTTTTTCATTTCATCAATTTAACATTTATATATTGTAATTATTATTATTATTATTAATTACAAAAGCAATTCGATTTATTTATTTCCCACATCCCCTCCCTCCCCTCCCCATTTCCCAACATTTTATTTAATTAAAAATTTATCAGAAAATATATAAATATATATATATATCTCATTTGAAAAATATGATTATTATTACATAATTATATATATGTGTGTGTGTGTGTATACATATTTATATCCATTTTGATATTATATTATATATAATATAATAATATATATACATTAATAAATAATTTAAACATTATTATTAACACACACACCAAAAATTTTTTATTCATTTTTCATATTTTAATAATTTTATGTATGAAGACATTTTGTTTTCTTTACATGTATACAATAATAATAATTTATTAATATTTAAAAATTTTTATTAATTGTTTTGGATGGATTTACTTACGTTGCATTAATACATAAAATTTTTATCCATTTATTATTATTATTATTATTATTATTATTATGAGTTATAAAAGAAAATTTAATGATAATAACAACAACAACAACAAGAGTTTGTCTTTTATGTATTTCGTTTTTAATAATTAAAGCTAAACCATCAAAAATTAATTAATTTGATTATTTATGTAATTGTAAAACTTAATAATAATAATAATAATAATACATAAAATATCAATAAAAATTTTTTATTTAGGCAAACGTTTAATTATTTATTTATACAAATAATTTTATTTAATAATTTATAAATTTTTTTTTTTTTGGGGGACAACAATATATATATAGTAAATGGACCTGTGGTTGTTATTGTGGTTGTTGTTGTTGTTTGTTATCATTAATAACATAACAAATAATATCTCATAGAAATCTAATAAAAATAAATAAATAAATTTGTTAGGCCGTACAAAAAGGTTATTAACAAAAAAAAATGCATAAAATTTTTTACATAAAACAATTTTAGGCCTTTTTAAAAAAAAATTATTTATTTAAATTTTCAATAAAATAATTTACATAAAATTGACCAACAATTAATTAAATTTGAAATAATAATAATTATAACACATTATTTGTACCGAAAAAAAAAAAAAAAATTTTAATTTATTAATAATTTATTTAATCATTCGAAGTCTTTTTTAATTTATTTTTATTTACCTTTTCAAATTTTTTTTTTATAAACAATTTTCTATAATAATAATAATAATAACAATAAGTTTATTTATTAATAATAATAACAATAAGAGAGAGAGAGAGAAAAACGAAAAAAATTAAATTTTTTATTTATACTTTTTTAATAGATAAATAAATAATTTTTTTTTTTTATTTAATCATCAACCAATTACAAAATAATTTATTATATATCATTATTATTATCATTATTATTATTATTATTATTATTTTTTTTTTTTTTTAATAAATTTTAATTCGTTGATAAAAATTCATTTATTTAAATTTAAAATTAAAAATTTTTTTTTTTTATTACAAAATATATTATTTTTAAAATATTAATATTAATAATAATAATAAATAAATAATCAAATAAAATAATAATAATAATAATAATAACAACAATCGATAGTTATCGATATCATTTTGAGCTTAAATGTGTGTGGATTTATCAAACAAATTTTAAAACAAAAAAAAAAGAAAAAAAAAAATTTAATTTGTACTTGTCAATCAATATTTCTATTTAGTAATAATAATAATAATAATAATAATAATAATTAAATAATTACAATTTTTTTTTTAAAAATGAATTTCATAATTAAATTAATTCAAACAATGTTATGATAATAATATTTTATTTATTTATTTAGATTTCATCAAATTGTAAATTTTTTATGTAAAACAAAACCAAAAACAAAACAAAAAAACAAAATGGAAGCACCCGCGAAAAAAATTTAAAAATAAAAAAAAACGCGACAACAACAACAACAACAATAATAATAATAATAAGGATAATCTCCAAATAAAAAATAAAAATAATAATAATAATAAAGAAAACAATTTTTTTTTTTTTTTTTTAAAATCATTTCATCCACATATTCTTATCGTTTCGTTACAAATAATCATTATTATTATTATTATTATTATTATTTTTTTTTTTTATACCAAACGTAATAAAAAAATTTTTTTTTTTTTTTTAAAACTAATAATTATAATTCTTATATATATATATATAATTATAATTTCGTTTATTATTAAAAAATAATTAATTAATTATTATTATTATTATTATTAAATTTTTTTTTCTCCCAAAATCTTAATCGTAATCATCATCATCATCATTACTTATTATTAAATAATAATTTTTTTTATTTATTTATTTTATTTTCGATTTTTTTTTTCCATTTCAATATATCACTACTAAATCTATAAATATTTTACTTTTTTTTTCCGCCGGCAGAAAAAAAAATTAACTTATTTTTGTGCTCCAAAATAAACTTTTTTTAAAAAAAAAATTAATAATAATAATAAAAATAAATTTTTTTTTTGGAATGCACTTCTTTCCGATTACAATAATACCAACAATAATAATAATAATAATAATAAAATTTTATTTTATACATTCTATGAGCTTCAAATTTTTTTTTTTTTCCTGCTTATATCATCATCACTATCATCATCATCATCATCTTATTAATGATAATAATGACAAAAATCATCATCAACATCATCATCATCATCATCACCTTTTCATGTTAATTTGGTCGCATTTCAATCATTGCAAAGTACCAAAAAAAAAAAAAAAAAAAGAAAAAATTACAAAACTTTTACACAATGTAAAAAAAGCACTTGTATAAGCAAATGACAAATTTTCGTTTGTTCTCCTCCTCCTCCTCCTCCTTCTTCCCTTCTTCTGCTTCATAAATCGTCCGCCATTTTTATCCTCCTCGTTTCCTTTACAAACGACAATGAATATTATCAATGATCCCTTTTCAAAATGGTTTGAAGAGGATTTAAAGTAATTTCCTCCTAATGAAAATCCGTCCGTGGAATTAGAATTATAACCAATTCCATTCAATTCCATTCATTCAATTATTTGGATTGTTTTTCTTTTCTTTTCTTTTTAAATTTTATTGTATGAAATCAAAAATTACATATTCGAGTTTATCTTCATTTACCCTCATCTTCTTCCATGGGTTCTTCAGAATCACGATGAGTGCGCTCTGGAGATCTTAAAAAAAAAAAAGAAAGAAAGAATTAAAATAAAAAATCCCCCCAAAAAACAAAATTTTTTAATTTTAACAACGAAATAAATAATTACTGCAAATATTGATTTTGTTGCATCGATAAACCGGCCATGCGCGTGATCGTGTCACTATCTTCTTTTTCCTTTTCGGCATAAGGCAATCCGACCGTGTGCGCCAATTTTTTCAAACATGGCCAATGCGTCAATTGTATGGCTATAGTTTTTTGCATCGTATCAACAGCAGCCTGACAAGGTGGTCTAGTTAGTTCTTCTTCGGAAATGGGGGTGGGATCATCACCCAATAAAGCTCTCACACATTCCTGAGCGGCATCACAAATAGATGGCAGATCATACCTAAAATAATATACATAAGTCGCATTAATAAAATTACCTCCTCCATTTTATTATTTAAAAAAAAAAAAAAAAAGAAAGGACAATTACCCTCCTTCCAAAGCCAAAACGACTTTTCCATCGGCTAAATTTAACAATTCTTGGGTCATGTGACCAAAACAAGACGCCGAGACTTTATAACCTCCAAGAGGTGGCGGATGACCGGCGGCAGCATCGAAACCCGCCGATACCAAAACAATATCAGGATCAAATTTCTATAAAAATTAATAAATATTATTATTATTATTATTAATTTTTATTGATTTTTCCGTTTTATAAATTTATTACTTTTGCAATCGGCATGACGATAGTTCTAAAAGCTGCCAAATATTCCGCATCTCCCATGGGTGGTTGCAAACCACCGGAAAAAGCAATGTTGACGTTGTAACCGAGACCCTCTCCTGTTCCACATTCGGTAGGACCCCCAGTTCCGGGGAAAAAATTCCCGTCATCGTGTCGATGTACGGATAAATATAAAACGTGAGGGTCGTCGTAAAACATTTGTTGAGTTCCGTTTCCGTGATGTACGTCCTTTAAAGGCAAAAAAAAAAATTTTTTAATTTCACACAAGTCTCGACAAGTAATTTAATATAAAAAATTTGAAAATGATGCGAGGCGCGTACCCAATCAAAAATTAATATTTTTCTAACTCTTAGTCTTTGCTGTAAAAGTTTTGCTGCTATTGCGACAGAATTGAAAAAGCAAAATCCCATGGCTTGAGAATTTTCTGCATGATGACCGGGAGGTCTAACGACAGCAAATCCATTTTTCATATCTCCCATTGCAGCTACGATAAAGTAATAAATAAAGGAAAAATTTAAATTAAAAATTATTATTAAGCGACGAATTTTGATTTTTAAATTTAAAAAAAAAAAGAAAGAATTATAAATACACATACTCTTCATTGCCAAATCCACGACGCAGCCAACAGCCATTCTGGCAGCAGGTGCTGTATGCAATTCATTCCACGTTGTATCCGAATCTACACCGACTCCACCGCAAGGGAGTCGAACGAAACACTTGATTGGCAAAGCAGCTATTTTATTTATATCTAATTTCTGTCTATTTAAAGGATTTGTACCTGCGAAAATTTAAAATTTTCAATTTCGATTCATAAATTTATCACATTTAAAAAAAAATTTTCGTCAAGTCGCGTCCGTCTTTCTTTTCTTACCAAAAAGCAAAGCGTGAGCTTCGCTATGACAACTTTGAATTTCTTCTATCGTTGCTTTCCTGGCTCTAAGCCTATCACATCTAGCGACTAAACCTGTTTCGAGTAATCTCGCCCAAACGCTTTGCAATCTACCACCGTGTTCGGGATGAGAAGAATTGTCCCCGCAAACACAAGCATGCTTCAACATGAGATTGTCAAAAGCTAAACCCGTTGTAATACAATGAACACTGCTGAAAATGTTTTCATAAAAAAAAAAAAATTCTTATATTTTTTAAACTCAATTTATATCTATCATCTAAAATAATATACATAAGCTGCACTAAAAAATCTTTTAAAAAAAAAAAAAATATAAAAATAAAAACGAACCTATTTAATTTAGGTACGTGAGAAGAATGACAGTTTACTGGCGATAAAGGAATGTCTGAACCTCCCAAAGCGACTAATGGGCTGGAAAGTGCTCTAGATAAAGGTCGAGCAACGTAAGAAGTATTTCTCGGAACAAAAGTTGATCCTTTGCATTACAAAAAATTTTAATTCTCGGACCGCCGCCATCTTATTTTTAATTTATTAACAAAAAAAAAAATTTTTTTTACCTTCGTTCGCTTGCAGATTATGTCTCATCATTAAATCTCTTTGCTGTTGCAAAAATTGTTCTCTATCTTTTTGCTGCCGAGACATTTCGCACTCGTTTTGATCTTCATCAACTTCTAATCTCTGATCTGTGAGATCGATAACTTCAGCCGTTTCATCAACCACTTCCGGTTGGTCTTCCAATTGTCTTCCGGCTCGCGTTAAAACTGTTTGACGGATTTGCTAAAAATTTAATTTATAATTCATTTAACAATTTCAAATTACAAATCATGAATACGTGTCTTCTGCTAAATAATGTATATTACTTGTTTAAGCAAATTATGTTGAGTTCTTTGATCTTCATAACGTTGAGGAATGGTGAGAACATTATGAGATGCCAACATTGGATGACCCAAGGGTAAGGGTGCAGATTGAGTTCTTCCTAAAGGTCTATGACCGTGTTTAGTAAGACGAGCGTGAGCAACTTGACTGTCGGTCATTTGCTGATACCCGGAAACTGTAGGATTTCCAGATTGTTCTAATGTTTCCATTTGCTTATGAACGGCAGCGCTATCAGTAGGTTCACTGTCAATAGCTTTAAAAATAATGGAAGATTTTTTTTTTTTTTTTTTGGTGAGTAAAAAAAAAAAAAAACAAATTTTTTTTTTTAGAAAAAAAAAATGTATTAGTGGCTTGAAACGCACCAGGCAAAGTAGGATAGAACGGAAGCGTTCCGGGGAGCATTTGTCCAGTTAAAGGCATTCCTAATCTTGCTGTAAAAGCAGCACGAACTTCTGCTTCGGAAACGGATGCTAATTTATTTTCGTGTCCGGAATTATGAGATGAGGGGGGACGTCCTAGCGATATATTAGGCATGGACGGACTGCTGTACAGTGATAAATCAGACATGGAGCCTTGTTGAGATGAATTACTTAATTGGCCGTAAGTAGGAGACTCGGGTTCCTATAATGAAAAAATTTTAAAACGTTTTGTTATTATTATTATTATTATTATTAATTTTCAAATAATAATAATAATAATAAATAATTAATCACCTCTCTGATAGGAGTACTCCCTGCTGCCGAAGGAGACGTTCTTAAATTGGTCACAACAGGAGGAGAATTAGAAGAAGTCGTTTCCGTACTGTTATTGGCGGCATCTGAAAAATAATAATAATAATAATATCTCATTTAAATTCAGGAGCGTCAAACAAACAAACAAACAAACACAAAAAAGCTACATTAAAAAAAAAAAAAATTATAAACTAAATAAAATCTACTTACTAACAAGTACAGATTTTTTCTTGAGTGTCGATATCAACCTTTGATTTCTTCTGGCCATTGGTGAGGCTCTCCTTTCAATTACCCGTTGCTTTAGCCTCACTTTGAGCAGATTCGGCTCCGAGGCTGTTAACAGACATGCACACACGGTTGCAGTTAGTTTTTTTTTAATTAATTAAAAAAAAAATATTAAAATTTCTATATTTATTTATTTATTTATTTATTTAAATTAACAACAAAAAAAAGCGAACAATGAACAAAAAAAAAAAAAAAAAAAAATGGCCATTTTTTATTTTGTGATTGTAAAGAACGGAATCACTCAAGTTTATATAAGTTATCAATCGAAAATGAAGTAGATGTGAAATCATCAATGGTGCCAACCAAAAAAAAAAAAAATAAATAAAAATTTTTTTGAATGAAAATATTTTATTACAATATCATCCCGGAAAAAATTTTTCCAAAATGCCTCAGGTAGAAGTAACACACAATTTAAATTACCTGACTTGAATTCCCTTGAGAATTTTCCTATTTTTTTTTTTTTTTTTTTTTTTTTTTTACTGGGAATTATTTAACGTTTGGGTGTGCAAGGACAAAACCATATTATTATTATTATTATTATTATTACGTTTTTATAAGTTTATTTATAGAATGAATTAGACAGAAAATTTTTAAATTTTTAAAGGGGTTAAAAAATAAATAAATAAAACAACAAAAAAAAAAAATTTTAAAACAAAGAGCTTTTTAAAATAGATTCGTGCAAAAGTTTTTTTTTTTTTTTTAATAATGTAACACAAAATTTGAAAACCCCCCCCCCCCCCCCCCCGATTTTCCCTTTTTTTTGAATTTTCCCCCCTTATTACAAGACAATGGCATGGCATTAAAATTTAAACTATATTAATAAAACATTAGAAAAGAAAAAAAAAAAAACTTCATGTACTTGGGTACAATAATTCCAACTTTTCAAACCCGTTTTGTTTTTTTTGCCCCCCCCCCCCCCCAAACAAGAGACTCTTTAAATTTTCTTTTTTTTTTATTTGTGAAAAATTTTTGTTAATATAAAGGCAAACAGAAAAAAAAAAAACAAATTTTCAAATGCAAAACTCAAAAAAAAAAAAAAATAATAATAATAATAAAATCATTTAAATTACTCCACCTGTCTTTCTAAGCGGAAAATCTTCATCGTATTTGGCTGCCACGAGATGGTTAAGGTGGTAGGGATGAGGTGCTCCTGCTCCTGACGGTGTTGAACTGGGAGGTTCACCCCATTGTTGGCTCCTGTTAAAGCTAGCGGAACCTGGTAAAGGACCCGACGTTCCGTTCGCTGCTGCTTCTCGTTGTTTTTTATTAAGAAGAAATCCCTGCATGGAATTATTATTATTATTATTATTATTATTACAAACGAATTCCAAAAAAAAACCGGGAACGATAATAATAATAATAATAATAATAATAATAATAATAACAATAAAAGCGTACGCTACCTGTAATCTTTGTTTAACTTCACTGCTAGCGACGGCACTTTGTTCATGCTTGTCTTTTCTTTTTAAAGCTTCCAATTTTTCCTTTTCCCTTCTTTCCTTTTGTTCTTCTAGAGCTTTCTGTTGCTCTCGAAATTCCTTAAACGACAACAACAACAATTACATATTTCAAATTGTAATCTGTAGGTCATAGATAAAGAGGAAATCAGAAAGAACACGATTGGAAGGCATCAACGTATTTTGACTTGAGTCAGTCATTTCATGCTCCATCTTTTTCTTCTTTTTCGAACTTTCTCGAATTTAAGGCTTTTTTTTTTTAAAATTGTTAACCTCGAGGAATCATTCAGACCCGTAATTACGGTTTATTTCTTTTATGAACCCAGCAATTTTTTTTTAAATTAGACTTTACCAAACGTGTTTCCAAAAAAAAATTTTAATGTCTTCAAAAGGCGCCATTTAAAAAAAGAAATGAAGAAAGGTATAAAAAAGGGGCTGAAAATAATAATAATAATAATAATAAAGGGTTTTCCATCGGTTTTACCTTCAAGTGATGTCGTAACTGTTGTTCATGTTGTTCCGCTAATTGTTGCTGTTGCGTCTGATAGTGTTGCAATAAAATTTGCTGTTGTAATTGTTGTTGCTTTTTCAATTGAAGGAGTTGCTGTTGAAAAGCTTGAGCGTGAAGCCCTGGATCCCCCGGATAAGTGTGATTGACATCATTTTGTCGAGATAATATTGGAGATTTTGCAACCGTGTTTCGTTTCATTTTTACAGAGAAAAAGTAAAATAAAAAAAAATAAAATTCAAACGCTTTTTAATGATTACAAGAAAAAAAAAAAGAGCTCGAAGAAGGAGCACAAAAAAAAAAAAAAAATCGTCAAGGTAACACGATTCAATACAAAAAAAAAAAAAAATTATATTTTTACGTCATTGTCAGTTTTTTTTTTTTTTTTTTTGTCTTCTGCTTGTGATGACTTTTAGTGTGTGTGTGTATTAAAAAAATTTTAACAAA